CTAAAAGGTAAAAAAAAACCTTAATTTTACAAAGTAATTAGTAAAAACTTCTTCCCGTCCCTAAATTGATCAGGGAATGACATCGTTAACCTCTTTGTGATATTGTGTGAAAGGAGATTAATCACAAACCAAAATAGTTCTATACTAATTTTGTCAAAGAATAATTCAAGCTTCGAACGGTCTTGCAATTAAATGTTTAGCTATACTTCTGAAAATAAATATAATTACTTGTAAGTGTAATGGGAATCGTTTTTGTGAGCGAATATGACGGTGTTTATGGCTATAGCTAGTAATCTTATATAACGGCGTACACAACATAATTTCAAACCGTAAAAGTACTCATTGCTTTCTTCACCATACAAACTGTCAATAATGTGACAGTCATCTTGGGAGCTTATAAAAATACTTCCGTTGAATTCCACAACTTCTTTCCAAAACCAAAATCAATCAATGTTAACAGTTCCACATCGTAAAAATTGATTAAGTCAAATGCGCAGATGCTTTTCACATCGCATGTTCCATTCAGTGGATGATACAGTCGATTCCATCCCTCCGTGAAGTTCTCCATATTCGTCCGGCTCGGTCCTGCAGCTGGTGGTTTTTGCTATATGGCTTTGCTGAAGTTCTTTGTTTGATATGAAAGTCAATCGGCCAGTTGTGCAGTAAGTTAGCATAAACCATCTCCTCGGTTTCTCTTTTTAAAGAAAAGAATAGAAACATTTCGGTAGGCGTTAAGCCATGGCATACATAATTCAATCAGATTTGCCTATAAAAGTTATTCGAATAAACTTAACTTAAATAAACAAGTCAACTTTTGTTCATTGCCATTGCCGGGTCAATCATGCACGTTTAGGCCTATGTCTTTTAAAGGGAATATACATCATTTGCTTTTGCTGTTATTTTCAGAAATGGATGGAATTTGGGGGTTGGAAATATATAGTAAATATAGTTACACTGACTTTTTTGAGGTTTTGGGTTCGAAAATGCTATAAAAACCAAGAAAACAATCATTTTCATGTAGTCTGGTTCCCTGACTCCATATAAGAAGAAACAGAGCAGTTTACATACATTGGGGAATTGTAAGGTCAGGGAACCAGTCTAGCTGGCTCGTACCCGTTCATAGGTTTGTAATCGATTGCAAACAAGTGCGATGGTCAATTGGGGCCAGTATTTGAAAAAAAGCCAGTTGTTTCCAACGCTGATTGGCCGATCAGCGTTGGAAATTGATACAAAAATACCACTTTTCTTGAAAATGACAGTAAACCAGGTGCCATGATTTTACAAGATGCTTTACACTGCCATTCACTTACAGTCCAGCAAGGTATTTCAAAATGATTTGGTAGTTTTATTTTTTGATGTTTGCAAATGTTGTATTTTCCCTTTAAAGAAAAATGATGCCGACCACTGAGCATGACGGGCCTAGATCGCATGGAATTTGAACAGAATATCTCGCTAGCTACCACACAGGCCCGTCTTCTCAAACTCAGAGCGACATAATTGCTTTGTCATTCCCATGTTTATATTCCTCCATGCCATGTTGTATAGGCCTCGTTAAAAAAAAACAACTTACTTGCGAATAATTGTCCTATTCTTCAACACTCCTTACTTCCCGACTCCAGCAATCTAATGCTGCGCACACCTTGACTATACTCCTCGTCGATTTTGATCAATTTAGATCTCCGTTTCTTTTATTCTTTCAAAAATGACAAAGAAACCGAAGAAAACCCAACTTCATTTTTTAATCCTCCGTTCGAAAGTGTACACAACTCGAATGCGAAATTGTGTTCTTCACCCTTTTCAAAAAACGCGCGCGCGGACGCACGTTCGTACGCGATGTCCTATCCAGTCTGTGTATATGGAGATCAATGATCTTTCCTCCCAACCTCGTGCCCCGTGGGTACGATCTTGCATTGCCATGTTGTTTCCCATCATGCCTTGCGCGATCGTAACTTCTGGAATTGTGTAATTTAAATGTACCAAAATACGGTACATTATAATTTGGGCTGCAGTTTATCCGTTTTACGTGCCGACGCCATCTTTAAAATGTTAAAAGTTGTGATTTTGAAGAATCAGTCCTTTCAAACACAACGTTTGGACGTTGTGTTAATTAGCAAAGATTTGTATTAAAGCTATAGTCCATCATTTGCAGCCATCCGAAAAGTAACTGGCGTAATTATTGTTGAAAAACAAACTTAGTTGAAAGATAGTAAGGGAACTAAACTCCCTGTGAAATTATCCGTTCTGGCAAGCTGTCATTTTGAAGTAATCAACGAAAGAAGGCATTTCCAACGGTGATTCTTAGGAAGCACCGTAGGAAAATTTAAATTAGTAGTTCGTTTGTGTAGTGTATGCAGACTGCAGTGATCTATTTATAGTGCAACCAGTGTATGACGTCATTTGTTGATCGTCTGTACATTCTAGTACGTGTGTACTCTAGTGTGTTATGAACGTGAATACAATACGAAGCAACCAGAAAAGTATCCCTAATCTCAGTCTCTCCTTAATCGGGTATTATTGACGTACGAACACAACAGTGGCGACGAGGATGGGATGCACACCTCAGCTCACCAAGATACTGATATGTCTGACCTAGCATCCATGCCGGTGTTTATCCCTACCGCTGAGACAGCTCCAGTCGTTGGCTCGCAAATTCCTCATACAGAACGTACACACGCGCCACCCTCAAACGTCACAAATGGTGAGCAAACTTCACAATCGGCGACACCGACCGTAACCGCAGGTTCCAGTGCTTCACCCAAACCCCTACGTCACTCATCAAGGGTCAGCAAACCCCCAGACAGACTCATTGAGACTATGGAATAACCTAACTGTTGTTCGCAGAGGCCTGCATGAGAGTTAAAAGGTGCATGCACTGCACTTTGAGTTGTTACAGTTGTGTTAATGTTTACATGTATCGTGTTACTCAAGTTGTTTAAACAAGTTTTTAGAGTTGCAGTTTTGAAACAAAAAAAAAGGTTGCAGTTGAAATTGTACGGTATTGGAATGTCATGGGTTAAAAAGAAGAAAAAAAATAAGCAAACAAGAAGGAAATCCTAAGGGAAGTTCCGTTTATTCAAATTAAGGGCAGGAAGAGAAAAAAAGCCATTGCTACCTTGTCTAGGGACTTGGATTTAATTATGGAAAAAAGGATTTTCTTTGTTTTGAACTTTGGTTTTCTTGCAACAAGTGTTTGTAGGATTAGCATTTTTTTTGTGAGGTGTGACATTGCTTAATAGACAGTATTTTCAGTCGAGGACATTTTCATAGGGTTGAAAATGATGTTTTTGTGTGTGTACAGCTTCGATATTAAGGGGGGAGAGGATGTAGTGTATGCAGACTGCAGTGATCTATTTATAGTGCAACCAGTGTATGACGTCATTTGTTGATCGTCTGTACATTCTAGTACGTGTGTACTCTAGTGTGTTATGAACGTGAATACAATACGAAGCAACCAGAAAAGTATCCCTAATCTCAGTCTCTCCTTAATCGGGTATTATTGACGTACGAACACAACAGTTTGTTATTCAGCGCAGCGCGCGCAAGTATTGGAACGACGCACACGCGCGCGCGGTTGTTATAATTCGTCGGATCAGTGCGCGACGTCGCGTATAGCTGCAATTCAAAACATGATTCAGTAACTTTTGATTTGAAATTGAGATCTTAGAATGCTGTTTTTCTCGGAATGTACAGCTGAAGCTTAGCTGAAACTTTATCAGGTTAGTTGCTTAGTATCCTTTATTAGATTTTGAACTCTTTTGTTGCTTCAAACGAACAAAATGCACAAATTACAAATGATGGACTATAGCTTTAAATGTACGTACCCCTTTCGTGCCTTACAACCACAGATACCGGGGGTTTTTTTAGCGAAAAACGCGGCTGACATAATCCATATCGTACAGGCTTCGCGACTTTTGAATCATATTTTTTTTTTTCGTACGTGACGTTACGTGCAAAGCTAAGCACGCGAGCGCGAGCGCATTACGGGCGCGCCCGGCGTGCAATTTTCGAAATGCCCGCGCAGTACGCCGTGAATAGCCATTCACTGTCATTTACGTCATCATCACAGCCAGGGGTAATTGTAAGGAACGAGCACGCGCCCCTGGAGTCGAGGCTGCTTTCCTCCAGCAAGTGACCCTCCATGCAAGTCCGCGCGTGTGTACGCGCTGCCGATCTAGTCTTTTTATTCTATATCTATGAATCGGCTCAGTGAGAACGCTTCTCGGACGCTGAATTCAGGCCCAATAGAACGCTTGCAGATACGTTCGATAATCGACGCGCGAAGGCGCGCGACGCCATGTTGTGGGACAGGCGTATATCTATCCATGCACATTTTGTCCCATAACATGGCGTCGTGCACCTTCGCGCGCCAATTATCGATCGCGTCTGCAAGCGGTCTATTCAAAACATGATTCAGCAACTTTTGATTTGAAATTGAGATGCTAGAATTCTGTTTTTCTCGGAATATACAGCAGAAGCTGAGCTGAAACTTCATCCGGTTAGTTGTTCAGTATCCTTCACTAGATCTTGAGCACTTTTGTTGCTTCAAACGAACAAAATGCACAAATTACAAATGATGGACTATATCTTTTCATCTAGCAGTGAAGCTGCAAATTTTATTATTCTTATAATTACTAGACTCCCTGTGTGTGTGTGAGGCTGCAATAACTTAAAAAAAACAACAAAGTGAAATTGCTTTGGAAAAAAAAAAACTAAGGCAAGTGGGTTTCAAGTAGATTGTAAATGGTTGGATTTAATTAATACTCGCTTAGAAACTGACACAATTTTATTGAGTAGATCATGGTGACATGCCCGAATAACACTTGCAGGTTTCCGTTATATCACGTGATCCCCTTTGCAAACGCACCTGAGTGCAAGGGACTTTTCGAGGGACAATCCCTTACAGATATTTCGGGGCAAGGTCACATCCGGCTTGGATTACATTGCCAACATTTAGTCTGCATACCGAGCATCGAGGATGCTGTTCTGATTCGTGTTTTTTTTCATGAGAACTTTTAGAGGCATGGAAACGACTCGAATAAGAATCTACAAGAGCCGTGTCAGTAAGAAACGCAAAAAGCGCCTTTTGTAATTAGGCTTAAGAAGGTATGTAGGTTCTGTGTGTGGGGATGTCCCTTTCGCTCTACCTCTGCCAAAACATCTCTGCCGAATTAACTAACATCAAGGAGAATTAAGGTCCAGAGATGCACCCGCTTCGTTTTCCTATATATATTTGTGTTAGCGCCTCTTTCGATTCACAATCATCTGGATTCGTCTGAGTCTACATCTGGCTGATCAGCATCACAGTCATCTTGAACAGACAGTTTGAAGAAATCGGTGAGTACTTTGTCTGTTTATTATTGTTTCCCCCATGACATTGCAGCTATACGGCCCCTTGTATTTCCACACAACAATTTCCACAAAAATCACAAAGATTGTATAAATACACATACCACACGACGGAAAAAATACTACTATACAATCAAAAGAGACACACAGGCCAAAGTGAGATAGAAGCAACTATAGGAACCAAAAAACTTAATAATTATAGCTTAAATAATCTCTCAGTCAAAAATATAAGATTAACTAAACAGACCTTTACAAATATCACCAAATCTAAATTGCGCATGACACCACAAGTTGATATGCATGCAGATGTATACAAGATCGTCGAACGGATGGATGACAAAATATGAGAAGACAATTCTCAGTGCACATATTATTGCACGCAGTGCATGTCACTCGAGAGAACCCGTATGACCGATGTATGACCCCGATCACTGCGCAGTACTTATTGTTCGTAACTGATACTTCGTGGCTTCGACATGGGTGTGACGGTCTGTGCGTACGTGTGTTTGTGATAGCCGGCCGATACAGTGTGGATGTGCAGGACCGCGCTTGGTCCGCGCTTGGTCCATTGGTCCGACGGCCCATTGGTCGCTATACGTTCCATTGGTATAAACGTTTCATTGGTCCGAAGTCCCATTGGTCAGCAAACAAAACATAGTAAATCGTGACGTAATAAACAGGACTCGTTTATACTACGCTGTTTATTACGTCACGATTTACTATGTTTTGTTTGTTGCCCCCAACGACGACTTTTACACAAATTGCACGTTCGGGTCGAAACAGGACCTGAAAAACAGTTCTCAGAGGTACCTTTTGTATTCATTTCATGACAAACACAAAAGTCGTTTTTATTTCATCACACCTTTAGGCTACATATTACGAAAGCCCGTTAGTGCCATCGTATGATGTATACATTGCTCTTTTGCAAGTATATGTTTGGTAAATCTTGTTTTTCCGATGTATATGTTTGGTGAATCTTGTTTTTCCGATGTATATGTTTGGTGAATCTTGTTTTTCGGATGTATATGTTTGTGAATCTTGTTTTTCGGATGTATATGTTTAGCAAGTCTTGTTTTTTGCAAGTATATGTTTGGCGAATCTTGTTTTTTGCATGTATATGTTTCCCGAGTCTTGTTTTTTGGAAGTATATGTTTCCAGAGTCTTGTTTTTTTGCAAGTATATGTTTCCCGAGTCTTGTTTTTTGCAAGTATGTTTCGCAAGTCTTGTTTCTGTGAAGTCTATTTTTAGTAACAGTCTTGTTTTTTGCAAGTATATGTTTCCAGAGTCTTGTTTTTTACAAGTATATTTCTCGAGTCTTGTTTTTGTGAAGTTTATTTTTAGTAACAGTCTTGTTTTTTGGAAGTATATGTTTCCCGAGTCTTGTTTTTTGCAAATATGTTTCGCGCGGCTTGTTTTTGTGAAGTCTATTTTTAGTAACAGTCTTGTTTTTTTCAAGTATATGTTTTGCGAGTCTCGGTTTTTTTTTAAAGTATATATGTAGGGACCCGATCTGCTACTCCCCAGACAAAATTGTTGCACCCCTATTTTTATTTTTGGAATAGTCCTACTAGCTTGTACATGTACTTGTAGCTGCATAACATGTGGTCCATGTAATAATGGTACGGTATCCGGTCACTTCGGCACCTTGGCAACTCGGCACCTGCCAACTCGGCACCTTGGCAACTCGGCACCCACCAACTCGGCACCCACCAACTCGGCACCCACCAACTCGACACCCACCAACTAGACACCTGTACAAAAACCAGTTTGGCACCTAGCCGACTCGGCACCTGACCAACTCGGCACCTCCCCATGTGCAAAATTCGAAATGTTTCTCAGTAATCAGTCCGCACATTATTGATTTTCATTGAGCTGGAAAATACGCTGTTACTAATAGCCTAATTGTTTTTATAATGGAACTTGCGATGTCAGATTGCAACGTTCGTTGACAGTTCCTTCGATATTTTGAGTACGGGTAGCAAGCACTGTACGCTGGCCGTCACCGGTCAACGCTTGTCCTCCCAAGTCCACGGCAACGGTGCACTGCGCCTGGCCTGGCCGCACATCCACACCGGCCATCGCCACGGTGCACGGCCGGTGACATGCACCGTGCTTGACCGCACATGCCCTCCGGCCATCGCCACCGCGCACGGCCGGTGACAAGTGCCTCGCCTAGCCGCACAGCGCCAACATTTCCAGCCCCCCCCCCAAAAAAATCGAGATGGGGTATTGGTTGTGAATAACGGCAAAACAAAATTTTGCTTTCGGGATGACAGGTGCCGAGTTGGTCAGGTGCTGAGTTGGAAGTTGTGAGAAAGAAGCAAAATTTGGGTGCCGAGTTGGCCAGGTGCCGAGTTGGCTGTGTGCCGACTGAATGCCGAGTTGGCGAGGTGCCGAGTTGGCAAGGTGCCGAGTTGGTGGGTGCCGAGTTGCCAAGGTGCCGAAGTGACCGGATACCGTACCATTATTACATGGACCACATGTTATGCAGCTACAAGTACATGTACAAGCTAGTAAGACTATTCCAAAAATAAAAATAGGGGTGCAACAATTTTGTGTGGGGAGTAGCAGATCGGGTCCCTACATGCATGTATATACTTTTAAAAAAAACTGAGACTCGCAAAACATATATTTGCAAAAAACAAGACTGTTACTAAAAATAGACTGCACAAAAACAAGACTTGCGAAACATACTTGCAAAAAACAAGACTTGGGAAACATATACTTGCAAAAAAACAAGACTCGGGAAACATATACTTCCAAAAAACAAGACTGTTACTAAAAATAGACTTCACAAAAACAAGACTAGCGAAACATACTTGCAAAAAACAAGACTCGGGAAACATATACTTGCAAAAAACAAGACTCGGGAAACATTATACTTCCAAAAAACAAGACTGTTACTAAAAATAGACTTCACAAAAACAAGACTCGCGAAACATACTTGCAAAAAACAAGACTCGGGAAACATATACTTCCAAAAAACAAGACTGTTACTAAAAATAGACTTCACAAAAACAAGACTTGCGAAACATACTTGCAAAAAACAAGACTCGGGAAACATATACTTGCAAAAAACAAGACTCGGGAAACATATACTTGCAAAAAACAAGACTCGGGAAACATATACTTCCAAAAAACAAGACTGTTACTAAAAATAGACTGCACAAAAACAAGACTTGCGAAACACTTGCAAAAAAACAAGACTCGGGAAACATATACTTGCAAAAAACAAGACTCGGGAAACATTTACTTCCAAAAAACAAGACTCGGGAAACATATACATGCAAAAAACAAGATTCGCCAAACATATACTTGCAAAAAACAAGATTTGCTAAACATATACATCCAAAAAACAAGACTTGCTAGACATATACATCCGAAAAACAAGACTTGCTAAACATATACATCCGAAAAACAAGATTCACCAAACATATACATCCGAAATACAAGATTCACCAAACATATACATCGGAAAAACAAGATTTACCAAACATATACTTGCAAAAGAGCAATGTATACATCATACGATGGCACTAACGGGCTTTCGTAACATATACCCGAAAAATGACGGAAATGTCTTCGAGGATTCCACAACCTTTTTAACAGCCTTACCACAAGTGTGGTAGCATGGTTTGGGACCTATTCAAATATGCACAGAAAACTTAACAGATTAATTTTGCAGTCCTAGGATCCTCATTCAACTGTACGACCGTGGAATCATGCGTGCATAATGGCACCCACGCGATCAAGGCCAAATTATCTTACAGAGTTGACTGGACGCGTGCGTTGGAAACCGCGCGAGACCCGAGATCTTCCGCGGTCATTCAACTCGGCTCCGGGATGTAGATTTCGTTTTGAAGAATATAATGGCCAACGCGTTTGTTTGCCGTGTGATTTTGTAATAATATGAGAGAATCCGATAGGATTTGAAGGTTTTGCATTGTGGTGATAGCAATTATAGCAATACGTTCACGGTTTCTGCTTCTAGTTCTGCGCTTCTGCATCTGCTTCTGCTCAATATACTGTGCAATCAACTCCATTTGGCTGTTATCACGTGACAATGTCACACATCTCTTTTGTGAGTTGTGAGATTCTGAAAAGAACCGAGGGAAACTCAACGTTTCGGGCAGTGTACTATACCCGTCGTCAGAAAACAGGGACTCGTATTCTTATCTTTACGCTTTCAACCCTTGAATAGCGGTTCCACTGAATGGTAGCAATTTTAATCCGTCAGCCTAAAAGTCTTTAGCATTCCAAAGACATTTTCATCTTCGTTTCATTACAAACCAAACTTTTTTTGTCATTCTATCTGGATCTACAACCATTATACATGTATCATTTTCATCTTAATGAAATAAAAATAATTTCGATGTTGTCTTCAGATGAAGTGATAGCGATCCTTAGGCCCGTGGTACATAACACGTGTTTTGACAGGGTTGCTATAATTGTTTAATGAGTTAAGAAGTCCACCGTCTCATTACTACTTCTATTTTTTCTCTCATTATCTTTCACCTGTCACTCATGTTAGGGGAGAGAACTTGTTTGAGGGCCCACAGTCAGACGATTCTCCCCAACGAACTACATCGAAGCCAACCATGAACCGACTTCTCCTAGCCTGGGTGTTTCTGGCGGCTGCCACTGCCTCGGTGAGCGCCTGGTGTTCTTCGGGCTACACTCAGCGTCCGGGAGGCAACTGCTACAAGTTGTGGAACACGGAAGACGAATGGTGGCTGTACGCTGACCATGTCTGCAGAGCCGAAGGAGCCTGGCTGGCCACTATCAGAAACGAGGCGGACAGTGTGTGGGTCAACAACTTCTTCATAACCAATAGGCGCCACCACTGTGAGGATTGGTACTGGATCGGGTGAGCTAAAATATCACGAATTATTATTCTTAAATACCAAGGACAGTTTACCCATTCCTATTGGTCGAGAGCCTGTCACGTGGCCGGTTTTAAACAGTCGATAGAGATCGACTGACTGGTCTTTAACACTTTTCTAGTGTCACATGAAATTTGGATCAGTATTTCATTGTCCTAAAACTCACACTCACTAGCACAGCTGCGCTTTACGTCACTTCGCACAGTGCACTTGACGCGCGCGCCAATCTCCATATAAGGAATTGTTTACGACGACTCGCAAGAGAGCCATTAATGATATATAGCTAGAGGGGTTTCCCGGAAAAAATAACATGAAGTAAAACTTCTGAGCAAAATCACTGGACATTTATAATGTTTGACTTGTTTTGACTTTTGGAGTGAAAAGTTTTTATCATTGACCGAATAGGTATTGATGCATGGCCGGTATTAAAATTCTGCTTAAGACCGGTTGGAGTCTGGATGCTAATAATCACCCTCAGACTCACACAATCAACATCCAAACATCAACCGGTCTGACTATCCAGAGTGTTTAAAACCGGTCAAGCACACATTTACTTCCTTGATAAAAAAAATGATCGATACAATGATGCAATTTCTGTCGGGGAGATTGAAACTGGGCTTTGCCATTTGTCCGCGTTTTGCAAAACTAAAAGCCAATATAAAGTCGTCACCGTTTTCACGAAGAGCCCCATATGTGGATACTGAAGAAAAAACATTTTCGAGATAATCACAAAAGTAGTTTCTCCTATAATAAAAGTGCAAAAATACTACTTTGCAACAACTTTGTGCAGTAAGGAAAACTTCCAATGATTCTATAAGAGGTGGATTTTTTACGTGAACCCAGTAATTTTAGAATGAACATAGTTATTAGCAAAAATTAATTAGTAAAGATATGTGTCTCTTCGTGATAACGAAAATCTCAGTTGACCTACTTTTACGCCTTTCCGTGCAATAGGTTTTGTACGCGTTCAAGGGGCCGAAATGTATGTGTCTCTTAAATGCAATTATCGAGATGTCTGCCCCTCGCATCATTGATGTAATTTTGAAATTAATGATGTTTGCTAACAGAAACATGTCAAGTGGTTAAGTACAATGTTTTAAAGCAAAATAGTGAGAAAAAAATCGTTCATTCCCGTGATGTTGAGCAGCACACCGTCATTAAATTTGCTGTTGAGACCGAGTTTGAAATAAAGTAGACCCGAGGCCTCACGCTCCCCTGTTTCACACACTAGCCTACCTCAGAATATCCGTGAACAGAGTAGCGTGCGGACAGTGACCGATTGATCTGTGGCATATAGGGGTCAACTTAATTTAAATATCCCCACGTTCCGCATGACGTAGGCGTGCTCTAGATAAAGCCAATCACAAACTACATGTGGCGAAACGTCAGACCGCCTAGCAACCATTGGGATTTTAGAATCATTGCGAGCGTTGCCTGTCGTCATAAAATGATATGAAATCAAATTTCCAGTTCACAAACTCGTCTCTTTTTTGTCTTGTCTCCTATACAGAGCCAATGATCTGGTAAGGGAGGGACTCTGGAGATGGGCGGAGGATGGTAGCGTACTCAACTATTTCAACTGGCGGCCTGGTGAGCCAAACAACGTTGGAGGTGAGGAGGACGTTGTGGAGGTCAACAGCAACAATCGCCAGTGGAACGACAACAAAGTAACCGATACTGCCCAATTGTGCTTCGTCTGCGAGAAGAAACCAATAGGGAGTGGTTACTAGAAGCTTCACAATAGTTGATCTTGTATAACGTCAAAATATAAGAAATACTTAATAAAATTTAAAACAAATTATGGCCAGTGCTTGCCATTGGATGTGAGTGGGAGAATCCGCTCACCGAATTTCGTAAAATGTATCTGAAAAGAGTTTTCCCATGAAGAATGGCTGTAAGGTTGTGCAGTGCTAGACCATAGATGTTGTATCGCGCCCTTTTGCAAATCCAAGTGTGCTATTCATAGCCATGATGTCAGACCATGCCGTTTTAGCTATAACTCTGTACGTGAGTCAATTTCGTGAAGAATTTGTTTCATCTTTGGAGGATAAATTCCGGGGTCCATAATTGTCGGTATGAATTTTAAATGATCCATAACCGATTATCCTTAATTGTACAATGTTTCATAATATTCAGGGAGATCAATTGCAGTAACTTGGGGGGCTTTTCTTAAGCAAATTTTAAGACAAGTTTAGGGCCTACAAATTTCACGTGATTTGTACAGGTCAATGAATGGGATTTGGGGTTAAATTCAAGGGTTATATTGCAGTACATGTAATAGCCTAATTATTAATCCGAGATTATCCCGTCTTTATTGTATTTTAGTGAACCAGTTTAACCAGTCAGTTCAGAATAGTTCATCAGTACATCAGTTCATTAATGTATCTGTTGTGGAACAAGCTGCCATTTTGCCTGAGTAGGCAAGAAAACTGTAATCTAATGCACAAATAAGGTCTGTGTGGAGATCAGAGAGTGAATAAAACAAGGGAACCAGCAGAAAAAAACTGTGTTCACAGGTTGAGCAGATTTCTTCTTATTTAACTGTTTCCAATAAAAGTTTCAATGTGACTGATAACGTACAGGAAAATTAAATGTACAGTTTCTGTTTGTCTAATAGTTTTCTTATTTTGTATCCCTTGCAGTTGCATTTCTATAAAGGTAACTTTTAACCAAAATAACCATTGACATTATACTCTCCGTATTTTCAACACCAACACGAATACGACCTATTAACCCTATCACGAGCTGGTAAATCGATCAGCTATATTGCAATTCTGAGGGCAAGTCCCTCAAATGGGGTACGTCTGACAACCAGCCAAATTCAGTGGCGGTTCTAATGGGGGGGGGGGGGGGGGGGGCTAGAGGGGCTTTTAATAGCGCCCCCCTCCCCCCCCAAAAAAAATTTGTCTAACCCCCAAAAAAATTCCTTAAAAAACTACAGTTCTATGTGTGTTTCAGGCGCGGTTCTAGAACCAATATTTTATTTGTTTGGGGGGGGGGGGAGGCTAGCAGGGTGGATCCAGAATTTTTTTCAGGAAGGCGTGCTGAAATGTAGACCGGTTATTTTCTCCAGACACTTAGGCCTCCGAAAATCAATAGGTGGGGGAGGGGGGGGGGGGGCTCATGCCATATTTTCAATGGGGAGCGCCAATAAAATCCCACAATCATTCACACTATATTAACTACAAATGCACCCTTGTCATGACTATTTCTTTAGGGGAGACCGTGTACATCACATGTACATCACAATCCTTCTTTTCGCTAATGCAATTTTTTTTTTACTGAATTTATTTTTGGGGGGCTAGACAAAATGCCCCCCCCCCCCCGTAGAACCGCGCCTGGTCTGTTTCCAACAGAACATAAGGCTTTTCCGCATGATGTTTTTTTTTATGAATAAATCGCGTATCGCTGACTATGCATGTACAACTTTCAAAGTATACGGTTCAAGAATGTTATAATCTAGCATGTAGCGTTTGTGAGATATATTATTGTCAAACAGAAATAAATCCATATTAAATCAGACGTGTCGGGTTACCTTCATACGTTATTTTGACCCATTCGGACTGATAGCTTTTTCAAAATGACACTTTAAAAATGCATCTTTATGATAGCGACAAATGCCCTGGGACGACATCATCTTGATAACACATGTCCAATGCACATTTTTGCATTGTGGTCTTGGTTTGTACGAAGCTTGAAGTCAATCCAATAAAAAGAAGTGTCAAATTTTGGAAGCAGAATGAAATTGTAAATATCTAAAAAAAATTAAAACAATCATGCGATGACGTCATGGTGACGTTTTTTCGGAATTTGCTTACTAGCACCATTATCTAGCTATCCACCAAGTTTCATGACAATCGAACTTTCCCTTACATGAGTTTTCCAAAGTCCCAATTTTGATGACGTCATGATGACGTCACACATTTTTCAAAATTGTGTGCATATATTTTATTACCTAACAAACATGATACGAAAAGAATTTTGAAGTTTGCATTTTACGTTCGTGAGATGGCTTAAAGGTCCAAAAATAAAAAAAATCATGTAAAATCACTTGATGACGTCATGATGACGTCACCTCAATTTTTTACATATAACACATCCCTGCATACCCAGTTTCAACCCAATCAGACTTACAGTTCTCTAGATATATGACTTTACAATATGCACTTTCAAGATGACGTCACGTGACCCTTGATAACGTCATCATGACGTCACCCCAATTGTTATCTATAACACATCCCTGTCTACCCACATACCAAGTTTCAACCCAATCGGACATGAATGATGACGTTACGTGACCCATGATGACGTCATCATGGCACCATTCTTCGGGACACAACTTTGCAATAAGGACTACGCATGTGGTAACTTTGAATGATGTATGACAAAGGTTAATGCCAAAACTTGCACTGAGAAAAAACGTGTACAAATTCTTTGGGGTTTAGGCGACAAAAAGAATAAACTAGAGGTTTATGTCCGTTTACTCAACAGAACATAATTATGGCTTTTTCGCATTGTTGATTGTTGTTGTTGATTGTTGATGTTGATTGTTGATTGTTGATGGTAATTGTTAATTGTTGATTGTTGATTGTTGATTGTTGATTGTGGATGTTGATGTTGATTGATGATTAGTTAATGGTGATTGTTGATGTTGTTGATGTTGATGTTGATTGTTGATGGTGGTCATCGATGTTGATTGTTGATGATTTTTGATGTTAATTGTTAATTGTTGATGTTAATTGTTAATTGTTGATTTTGATTGATGATTGTTGATGTTGATGTCGATAGATGGGGCCCCAGAAAAAATGGCTCGACTAAATGCACAACTGTATCAATATTATAATTACTTTTTCATTTGGGAAAAGAAAAATTGCTTGTATCGCTTAATCCGGTCATTCACAATGCAGTGCCAGCGTCGCCAAGAGTTTGCCATGGAGAGTCTATTTTTCAAGTTTACGTTCGACAAAACAAGGCCATTTGAATGAGTGTCAGTAGACAATTTAGCTTATTTGTTATAGATTGGGGCATATCGTTCTGCCGATAACAAAAAACAAAAAAACAAAAAAAAAATAATGAAAAGCAAAAAAAAAAGGACAAACCGATACTCGAATCATACGCTTACAAAAACTACTGACCGGAAAAAAGCAACAACTTAAAATGTCCCGCGACTGTCTCCCACATCACAATGCAATGCTAAAAATAAACTGTCCGTGGCAAACTCTTGGTGGCGCACTGCATTTTGAATCGCCCGAATTGAATTACGAAATTGAATAAATATCCAAAGTTTTGCAAATTAAACACTGCTTGCGTATTATTACGACGTTATGTCAACATGACCTTGCAAAGAGGTGAAGACAGTTGAAGAAAACAAGGGGGGAAAAGAAGAACACCAAGGCCTCTTTAAATCAAATGTAATGCAGGCCCAAAAGTTACTAATGTTTCTGTTATATGCATAATGTGTCCGGCGCCAGTGGCGGGGGGGGGGGGGGGGTTCTGAGTATCATCCGTTGTCCAACGGGGCCCTCACTGTCTCAGGTCCAACGTCTAAGCTTCCAGAGAAATTCATGACGTTCCGGCAATTTGAAAACTATACACATTTTGAATAAGTTAAACACCGTCCTGCTGAATCCAGGTTCTGGTAATCTCAGCCTTTAGGTGGCATTGGAAGGTGTCAGGTCTTCCAGATACATGGCCATACCTTCACCAATCTTGGTAAAACTTGACATGGTATATGTTCGTATATTTATCTTTCTAAAAATGCCTTGGATCGTCATGAAAACCGGAGGGAGCGCTGCCCCCCCCCCCCCTGGCAGTGACCAAAATGTTTTCTCACGTGTGAGAAAACCTGCCAACCCTACTTTCTTATTCCAGATAGATAAAGAGCAAACCATAAAGGGGAGCAAGGTGATGGTTGATGGCCTACAGTGGCCCACAACTGTCACAGCAAGAGCAAATTCGCCACGGCAAGAGCAAATTCGCCACGGCAAAAGAAAATTTGCCACGGCAAGAGCAAAACTGTCACGGCAAGAGCAAATTCGCCACGGCAAGAGCAAATTCGCCACGGCAAAAGCTAATTCGCCACGGCAAGATCAAATTGGCCATGACAATAGCAAATTGGCCATGGCAAGAGTAAATTCGCCACGGCAAGAGCTAATTCGCCACGAAAAGAGCGAATTGAGCTCATGAATAAAAGTCAAAATATTCTATATTATTGGGGAATGGAAGAGATATGGTAATGAACCTCTGGCCTAGACTTGGAGCTTCCAATTCTGAGCATTTTGGATGCAATTTGGCTCAAAAGTGGCGCTATTTTGCTGAGGGATCGTTTTTCTAGATGGCTACTTTTCCGCTTTGGGGAAAATAGGGGTTGTCTGCTTTGGGTGAGATTATCTCGAAAAGTCAATGATTAACCCACCAAAAAATGAAAAGAAAATGAAAGATGATACATTGATCATCATTTTTTTTCTGTGTAGCTTGAATACCTGTGAGAGTTCTGGGTATTTTTAAAAGAAATTTGAAGTATGCACATTTAGCACTAGTGTCTAGTACGGGATTTGTTTTGCAGGGTTGCACCCTTAAGCCCGGTTCATACTTTAATGCGAAAGCGAATGCGAAGCGAAGTTGACGTCATGAAACATTCGCTGCGAAATTCGTCCGAGTTGAAATGTGTTCAACTATTGCGAATTCGCAGCGCGAATACTTGCCATGTCGTCACAAATTCGCGTTCGCTTTTGCTTTCGCGCCGAGTATGAACCGGGCTTTATTACATGTATTTCGCTTACACCCCCCCCCCCCCGTCCTGTTTGCAGGGCGGGGGGTACAAGCGAACCTTATTATTTTTCACACAAATTTCCCATGGTTCACTGCACCAAAATTTGACCTTTAACCCGTATAAAAGTTCTAACATTACCATGCAGCCCTGGGGAAATGTTTTGCTGCAGCGAATTTGCTTTTGCCGTGGCGAATTTCTTCTTGCCGTGGCGAATTTGCCCTTGCCGTGACAGTTGTGGGCCACCGTAATGGCCCAACAGAAATGTGCACACATAAACATTCCACTCCTGCTATCTTAATATGACTGTGACAAAAGTGAGAGCATAGCCCAAATCAGGCTTCACCAAGCAACATGAACAACACGTTCTCATTGGTTAAACCTACTCTTTTTATTTGCATATGCAAATCTCCCCGTGGCATGATCACCAAATATATGGTCATGGAGTCCAGCTGTGCAAGGCTGGAGAAATGCATGGGTTGATCCAGGTAATTAGGTCAAAGAACTTGACAGCATGCCAACTTGACAGCATGCCAGAATGCTCGCCTGTACATGTATAACAAACTAGGGACAAGTGCAAAATGAATACTTTGCATTATGCTTGCTGATATAAAGCATTTTATCATAATATACTGATGATAACATGCATTAGGTTGGTATAATTCAATTTGACGTGACGTTGCTTTTAACCTTTCTAGCGAAGATACAGTTTTTTTTAATTTTGTGTTCACGTCCAACCGGTTACATGGCTATACACCGACGTCACATTGGTCCAACGTCCCTTTGTCCGACGTTCCATTGGTCCGACGTCCCATTGGTACGACGTCCCATAGGTCTGCGTAGGTTCACAACTGGTTCAGGTTGACTGACCCTATAACCTAACATTGATCCTAACCCTAACCCTTACTCCAACCCTAACCTAGCCTTTCGCCCAGACCATCGTGGCTTAGAGCGGCGGAATTGCGAAGACCCGAAGCGACTGGAGCAAAGATTAAGTCAGCACACACGAGTGGCAAAGCCACGAGGCCTTTCCCAACTTGATTTTGTTGAATTATTCATAGCTTTTATGCAAATAAGAAGAGTGCTGAAGGTTAACCAATCACAAGGCGGATTTTGCCTAGTCGCTTCCATTTATAAAAGAAGGGTGAGTAAGGAAAACGTAAGAACAAATAACTGTAAGTTCAGATGAAAAATAAGTTCATACACTCAAATAATTTCTTGAAATACTTTTATAAGTAAAGTTAAAATAAGATAAAGTAAGAACAATTACGCGGTCACGATCTCGTGGAAAACTAGACTCGCATTTTTTGTTTTTAAATTTTGTGCAAGCATCCGGGCGCGTCGACGCGTCCGGGTAGTAGCCAAGCACGCACGAAAAGGCTGATGATTGGTTGAAATTTAGCAACCCTTTGGGGGCAGCAAAAAATCGAGATTATAAAGAAAAACATAAGAATATCTCGACAAGTTAGAAAAGGCCCTCGTGGCTTCACCGCTCGCATGTGTGGTCTCCATCTCCAGTCGCTTTGCCCGTTCGCCGCTTTGAATGCGGGCAAGTTAAGCCACGATGGCCTTGGTGAAAGGCTAACCCTAACCCTGAAGAATGAGCCGGCGGACTAATGGGGCGTCAAACCAATAGGACGTCGGACCAATGGGACGTCGGACCAACGGATTGTCGGACCAATGGGACGTCGGACCAATGGGCGTCCGAACTATATTGAGACGTCCCCGTCCAGCCGGCAAACAGAAAATGAGAATATAGACTAAGTAGCATTTGTGAGCAAATGCAGTGTTCAATATCTTTCACCAGTACTGTCGGTATATTGAATAACAATAAAATCCAACTTGATGAAGCTTTGTAATGTGTACCAAGATATGTTGTGATATTAGTGTGTATAACTTGAAGTTTCTATGTTTTCGCAACACTGAAATTTTTTAAATCTAGGAATTCCGTATCTGAGAATTCCATCCTTCAATTAATTACTACATTCCCTGTGTGTGAAGCTGCAATAACTTAAAATTATTATATTGAATAAGAAAATTGAACTTGAAGCTTCGTGTGTTCCGAGATATGTTGTGATATTAGTGAGTATAACTTGAAGTTTCTATATAATTTAGCAACACTGAAATGTGTTAAAGGGAATGTACAACATTTGCTGTTGCTGCAATATTCAGAAATACAAGGATTTAAAAAAAATGTTGTAGCAAGTATTGTTAAACTGATTTGTTTTACGTTTTGGGCTTGTAGATGCTGGAAAAACCAAGAAAACCAATCATTTTCTTGTAGTTTGGTTCCCTGACCCCACTTAAGATGAAACGGAGCAAGTTGTAGACTTTGGAGAATTGCAAGGTCAAAGAATCAGTCTGGCAGGCTTGTACCTCTTCACAGGTGTGTAATCAATTGCAAAGAAAATGAAAAATTAAGAGCAGTTTTGAAAATAAGCCAGTTTTCTCCGAAGCTGGTCGGCCGACCAGCGTTGGGAAAATACAACTTTTCTTGCAAATGTCAGCACATCAGGAGCCACGATTTTACAGGATGCTTTAAACTGTCATTCTCCAACAATCCAGTAAGGTATATCGTGATAATTTGGTCATTTCGTTGTTTGATGTTTGCAAATGTTGTAATTTCCCTTTAAATCTAGCAACGCAGCTGCGAATTCCATCATTCTAATAATTACGAGATTGCCTGTGTGTGTGAGGCTGCAATTTAACTTAAAATAATAACAAGTTGAAATTGCTTTAAAAAAAGGCAAGTGGGTTTCAAGTAGATTGTAAATGGTTGGACTAACATTCACTTAGATACTGACTTGTCATTAACTTTCCATTATTACAATTTGAAATGACGTTACCAGAGTGGATCGGAAATTTTTTTGAGTGTACATGCAACTAATAGAGAGTGACATACCCGAATAACACTTGCAGGTTTTAGTTATATCACGTACGTGACCCTTTGCATACGCACCTGAGTGCAAGGAACTTTTTAAGGGACAGTCCCTTTTTTACAGATATTTCGGGGCAAGGTTACATCCGGCTTGGATTACATTGCCAACATTTAGTCTGCATACCAGTCTCTCCCTTGTGCATCGTGGATGCTGTTCTGATTCCGAACAGTAAAGAGTTTTTTTCGTGAGAACTTTTAGAGGCATGGAAACGACTCGAATAAGAATCTACAAAAGCCGTACGGGTTTGTAAGAAACTCCAAAAGCCCCTTTTGTAATTTGGCTTAAGAAGGTATGCAGGTTCTGAACTGGGGATGTCCCTTTCACTCTACCTCTGCCAAAATATCTCTGCCGAATTAACTTAACAAACACTACTAACATTAAGAAGAAGGTCCAGAGACGCATCCGCTTTGTTTTCCTATAAATATTGGTATTAGCGCCTCCTTTTGAATCACACTCATCTTGATTCGTCTGAGTCTACATCTGACTGATCAGCATCACAGTCATCTTGAACAGACAAATTGAAAAAATCGGTGAGTACTTTGATCGTTTATCATTGTTTCCCCATGACATTGCAGCTATACGGCCCTTGTATTCCACACAACAATTTCCACAAAAATCACAAAGATTGTACAAATACACATACCACACGACGAAATAAAAAAAAAATCACTATGCAATTAAAAGAGACACACCAGCCAAAGTAAGATAGAAGTAACAACTAGGAAACAAAAGCCTAATAACTTAAATAATCTCTCTGACAAAAATAACAAATTAAGTAAACAAACTTTTAAAAATATCACCAAATCTAAATATTGCGCATGAAGGATCGGGCACCACAAGTTGGAATATAATGTACAACTATACAAGCTCAGACTGATGGATGACAAATTATTAGAAAACACTTCTCAGTGCAGGTCTCACAGTGCAGGTCTCTCGAGAGAACCCGTATGACCGATGCATGACCCCAATCGCTGCAGTAATTCACGAAATTGTTCGAAACTTCGTGGGCTAAGCTTCGGCGAGGGTGCTATATGGTACACGTGTGTTTATATAGCCGGCCTGCTAGTGTGCAATGTTTGCAGGACGGTGACTGCTCATGTTCCGACACCCCTATGGTCTGACACCTATGTTCCGACAACTCAACCTATGTTCCGCCACCCCTATGTTTAAACAAATTGTTCCGCCAACTAACTATATGTTCCAACACCCATGTGTTCCGACACCCCTATATGTTCCGACAACCTGCACATAAGATTGTGTTACTCCCGGTGAGGGTTAGGGTTAGGGTTAGGTTTAGGGCTAGGGCTCGGGCTAAGAATATGTGCAGTCGGAACATGGGGTGTCGGAACATATAAGTTGAGTAGTCGAAACACAGCGGTGTCGGAACAAAGGGATTATGTCGGAACATAGGTTGAGTTGTCGGATCAAAGGGGTGTCGGAACTAGTGGTGTCGGAAATTTAGAGGTGTAACCATGCAGGACCGCGCGGTACATAATTCCACGGATATTGAGGGCCTGGGGAACTTGAACCCCCAACAAAAAAAAACAACAAAAAAACAAACAAACAATTTTTTCCAGTATCGAAATTTCATGAAACCAATTAGATCGCAAGAAAAGAATGTTGTAACTGCCTTTGAGCCCCGGCACACCCTGGGTACAATACTGTTGTTTTCTTGACTTGGCTGTATTCAAAATGATGAATGGGGGAAATGTAGGGTGGTAAAGAAAACATAAATCAAACTTCGGTGGTGTTGACCAAAAATTCAGGAGTCGGACTTGATGAAACCCATTGCCGATTTCCAGAGCCTATATCATTGTTCTGATTGTCGAGGACTTCCCGTCCCACCATACTAATTCCTTCCTTATCTATCAAAAAAGTCCGAAGGTGAGGTAAACGGGAGGTAACAAGGCGGCACCCTATAACGCTGTCCCCAGCAGTGGGTCGTCACATGCCTTGGACCCTTAAGAAGATGCTAAAGAACTTGGACTTTATGGACAATCTCAGCGGACAATCTCAATCTCAGCGAACACAATGAAGTCTGTTATGCTCAATTTGTTCTGACATTTTCTATCCAAATTTTTCAAATTTTACAAGTGTTTCCTTCTAACGTTGCCTTGGTTGCACTATAGCCATTGAGCCTGAAAATCCTAGCCAAAGAACAGCCCTGAAATGAAATTAATTTCGATCTTGTCTTCAAATGGAGTAAAACAGCGATCCTCAGGCCCGTGGTACATATTACACGTGTTTTTGACAGGGTTGCTATTATACAATTAAATAAGAATCTTCTGTCTCATTACTCATTCTCTCCTTTTTCTTTCATAATTTGTCACTAATCTTGGTAAACCTCATTAAATGACCCACAGTCGTACGCTCTTCACTCGTCAACAACGAGCTGCACGTACTGAACCGAGCCATGAACCGACTGTTTCTAGCCTGCGTGTTCCTGGTGGCTGCCATCGCCGCGGTGAGCGCCAGCTGTTCTCCAGGCTATACTCAGCGTGCGGGAGGCAACTGCTACAAGCTGTGGAGCACGAAACGCGAATGGTGGGTTTACGCCGACCACGTCTGCAGAGCCGAGGGAGCCTGGCTGGCCACCATCAGAAACACGGCGGATAGTGTGTGGGTCAACAACTTCTTCATAACCAACAGGGGCCACCACTGTAATTTGGATTGGTATTGGATCGGGTAAGTTAAAATATCACGAATTATTCAATAAAATGATTATCGTTTTTGTATAAGTTGAAATTGTCGTAGTGGAGATGTACATTGTATTAGTGCTACCGGGGCCCCGGTTTACCCCGGTGTTTCTGGCAGTGGCTGCTTAATGCGCCGCAGAACCTTGTAATTACCCTTATAAGGTTCTACATAATGGTTCTCATATTTCTAATGTACTTCATTTACCTGTCTCTAATAATAGACATAATTTCCAGCGCCTTGAGTACCTAATTGTTGGTAGATACGTACGCTATATGAGACTTAATTATTACTATTATTATTATTATTATTTAGTAATTAGATCAGGGAAAACGGTCACCGGAGTTATTCCAAATGTAGTACATGGCACTGGCAGTACTGACAATTCGTCAGATCTTAAAATATAGGCCTATCAATCAAGATATTTTGATGTGCAAAGGGAAAATGACGAAGTTTCAGGTGAAGAGAAAAGCAATTTGGGCGATTCACAATGCAGTGCGCCACCAAGAGTTTGCCATAGAGAGTTCATTTTTCAAGTTTAAGGGATACAAAACGTGGTCCCGTTGAGTGTCAGTAGACAACTTGATTTAATTTATTATAGATATAGGAGCATAGCGATCTACCGCCTTAGAAAACACCATGTTGATAAAAAGCAAAGAAATGGGCAAACATAATAATAATAACAGATTCTTATATAGCGCTTTTAACTAAGATCAAAGCGCTTTACATTATTATTACCCCTGATCATTGGGCCAATTAAACATTCCATATACCATCTTAGCTCCCTGGGGAGTATACAGCTCGATGCTGCCTGTTAGGCGCAAGGAAGCTAATTCAATCACAATAACCATCACTGCCCTCATATGTACCCATTTACTCCTGGGTGGAGAGAAGCAATGGGTGACAAAGTGCCTTGCTCAAGGGAACACGCACCATGACCCCGCCAGGACTCGAACCACGACCTGCAGCTTAACCCACAGACAACGAATCAGTGCCCTTAACCACGTGGCCACAGCACTCCACACGAGAACTATACTAGAATTATACGCTTACGACATTACGTACTGACTGGAAAACCAAACAATTTCAAATTTCCCGCACTGCGAATTTGTCAACCTTCTGTCACAATGCACTGGGAAAAATGAACTCTCCGTAGGAAATGAACGCTTGGTGGCGCATTGCATTTTGAATCGCCCGAATTAAGTGGTATAGCGTTGCTAGTGTACTTCTCAAACGTATGGTTTTAATTGCTCTATATACAGGGTAAGTGCTTATCAACCTCAGTCCCGTGGCTTTAAGCAGCACCCTGTCATTAAATTTGCTGTTGAGGCCGAGTGTGAAATGCATGAAGTATATCTGGGGCACAGTCTCCCTATTTTAAACATTACAGCCTACCTCAAAAATATATGTGAATCGAGTCAGAGTGCGGCCAGTGCGTTGTTGACCGATTGACCTGTGACATAATATATATATATAGCGTTCAAATTGATTTAATTATTCACGTTCCGCGTTGATCGTATGGCGTGCTGGAGAATCACACACCATGCATGGCAAAGCAATCAATGGCATTTCATAATCACTGCGAGCGTTGCCTATCGTCATAAACAAGTACGTGTGATATGAAATCAAATTTCCAGATTAGAAACTCAGCATCTCTGTTATTTGTCTGGTCTCCTGTACAGAGCCAATGATCTGGCACGGGAGGGACGCTGGAGATGGGCGGAGGATGGCAGCGAACTCAGCTATTTCAACTGGCTGCGTGGTGAGCCAAACAACATGGATAATGAGGACGTGGTGCAGGTCAACAGCAACAATCGCAAGTGGAATGACAATGAAGTGACCCACACCTACCAACTGTGCTACGTCTGCGAGAAGAATCCAATATAGGGAACGATAATTGCTAGAGGCCGAACAATTGGTATTGCTTAATTAATTTGAATTATACAAATTTGCTAACGAATTAGCTTTTGTCACTGCACGCAAACTTAGTGAGAGAATCTCCTCACCAAATGAATCTGAAAAAGAGTTTCCATAACTGTGGTAAGGGAAAATCTATCAACTGTGCGTGAATGTCTTTCTGTCAGCGACCACATGAGGGCGCTGACATCAAGTTTTGTTAAAAATAGTGCGAGTGTTTATAATTTCTGTTATTGTTCCTACATGAAGGATGATGTCATTACAAGTAACGGCAATGTTAAATCAATCTTTCGTGTCACTTCAGTTGATTTCACTGTGACGTAAGTTTTAATCAAAACGTATGGCACGGTGTCGAAAACGTGTTCCAACTATGAAAGAACAAAATGGCGCATTGTCTTGTGTAATGCTTTCACATAAAAGTGAAACAATGAGATTTCTCCAATATCGTACTAGACATTTCTCTATTTCCCAGTGATTGTAAATCTCATGCGGTACTAAGACAGACCTAATTCCGGGTGGAATTACGAACATCAAAAATTTTGTCAGTATTTCTGTCCAAATAATTTTTTTTGACTCGCGCTTAAGCTATCCACATGGGCGTCGCCAGGATTTTTTTCTAGAGTGGGTAAAACATATTTTCCCAAACAAATTCTCGATTTATCAATTTTAGGCGGGGGGGGGGGGGCAGGGACATTTTGTCCCCCAACTCATTAAATTTACACCACTATGACTTCGCACCTCTGTTTCTTTTCTTTGTTCTCTTTTTTTTCTCCCCCCTTTTTTTTTTGCTTTTTCCGGGGGGGGGGCAAGCGCCCCCCTTCCCCCACCTCCTCGCGACGCCCATGGCTATCCAGTCTTATTCATAAGACTAGGGAGTTCGATACTTCATCAGTCTGTGACACTCATGAGTATCCAACCAGTTTGGGTAACAAATCACATATTATGTACCCTACACACGCACATCATACTCATTAAATACACTTCGTTTCAGCTGGTCTCGTCTCTGGAATGCCATTGATGAATCTACGAAATCTCTTTCATCTGTGGGTCGCTTCAAACATGCCTATAAGAGAGCTTTCATCCCTCAATATGTAACATAGCTTGCTTCTCATTTGGTTTTTCAGCAATTGTTTATTTTTTTGTTCTCTCTCAATACATTTACGTTCTCTTCTAGTTTATACATTTCATGCTTCGGTTCTGTCTCGGTCCAACTGTCCGTGTGTATTTGTTTTTGTTTGTTTTCTGCATTTTGCCTTGGACGGACGTCCAAGGTATCTCGCCACAAGCCTAGGCTTCCAGAAGATATACCTTTTTATATTTTCTACTTCTTTGACAAACTCTATATTTGTTGATTATCACTTAATCGTGTAATCTATGCTTGAAGTTATCATTTTAGTATGGAAATAAATGTGAGCTTGAATTGAATTGAAATGAGGGCAGTGCGAGTGCCTTTTTTTGGTTTGCATTTGTTGTTATAATTTGGTGAAAAGAAGTCTTTGCCAAGTCAGTTTTTCTTTTTTTTCTATCTCAGTGGATTAATGTAGTGTCCAAGCTCCAGAGGGCGCCTAACAATAGAAGGCTCCAGAGCCGCATATTGAGAGAGTTGCGACATAAAGCTTGCTCGTACCCCCGCCCTTCAAACAGGGCGCTGGTTAGTGCTGACGCATTTGAGCTCTCATTGCATAGATTTTGCGTCACACAAACTAGCTTCCGGTGCCCATCATGCGTAGCGCGCGCTAGCTGCATGCGAATGTCAATCTGTACTTCCTTCACAAGATTCTGTGAAGCTCATCAGCCCTTTAATACCAGCGTCCTGTTTGCAGGGCAGGGGGTACGACCGAAGACATAAGGGTGCAGTGCACTAATTCAAGTGAGAATTTCTACACGAGCTCATTAGCATAAAAAGTGCCCCTTTTAAAACGGAGACCGTTTGGCTTTAAAAACGTTGGAAGTGTTTAAATACAGCCAAGGATCAATTCCCTGGCTTTTGGGGCTTCCATCTGAGGGCAGGCTTGATAACATTACGTTTGAAAATGTGTCATATTTGCCTGGCCTGAGAAAGTGGAAGGATGCCAGTTTTATAAATTGCTACATGCAGGCTTGAGAACTATCACATTTTGGGGATGTGATTTCGTTTTGGTGTGAATTTTTCAAAAATGTAACTGGCTAATCTGCACAAAATTTGAAAGAAATTAAAAGATGAAGGACACAAAAATAATTAAATGCTTGTTTGAGAAACCCCAGTGATATCAGCTTGAATTTTATTTGGCCTCGAAGTTGGTTGATTTTACACTGTTTTTAATGGGGCTTGAATTAGTTGAGTGCACCCGTAAGGGTCGCACTGTTGGAAACAAAATTGCGGATTATGCATCAGTGCTCATATTTCGTACACAATAGTCGCTCGCTACACTGTGCACATATTCGGCCATTATGGTTCAACTGTCCAAAGTTGTCCCAATTCTCTCTACACACGGCTCTGGAAGGCTTGTTCTTACATGGACAATCATAACAATTGTAATTAATTTTTCATTTGGGAAAAGAAAATCGCTTCTGTCACTTGTAATAAGACCTAACTGAATAACGAAATTGAATAAAAATCAAACGCTTTGCAAACTTAACACTGCATTGTGTATCATTACGACGTTCTTTCAACATGATGCATCCAAAGAAGTGAAGACAGTTGTAAAAAAAGGGATAGGAAAAAGAACACATAGACCTCTTTAATTCAAATGAAATTTACCGTTACCAATGTTTCTGTAAAAATTCTTCATGTGTCCGGCGCCAGTGGCGTATTCAGCGGGGGGGGGGGGGGGGGGGGGGGGGGGGGGGGGATAGTCTGAGTATCACCCGTTGTCCGGTCCACCGTCTTCGTGACTTTCTTTCATTCCGAAATCTGGACTATAAGAATGTCTAAGTCATTAAATTCGATGCCACATTATTTTTTTGTAATACAACAACAACTGTTCCTCGACAAGACATTTTGCTCTCAACAATGTTAGTAAAATACTGCTCATCGTGGGCGTGATGTTTACCCCCTTGGGCCTGGTTGCAAGGAGGGATAGGGGGCGGGGGAGGGCGTGGAGGGCGTACCGGGTACGAGCGAAGCGCTATGCATAAATTAAAGATGGGCATGCATCATAAACAGCGCCCCTAGTGTTTTGGGCTGTCCTTGTTAATTTTGGTTTTGTGCAAAACCCAAGATGTATATTCCCTTTAGGGCCTAAGGATGAGAACGTACTGTTGACATTAATTTTGCTTAAAAATACAGGTAGAAGATGGACTGTTGGGGACAGCGACGAACGTTGATTGCCGCTCGTGGTCCGCAGGCAGTTTTGGAGCGGCAGACCGCCGATGGTAAACCGCTGACTGCCGCTAACGGTCCGCTGGCGATTTTGTAGTGGTAAACCGCCGGTGGTATGCCGCTGATTGCCGCTGGTGGTCCGCTGGCGGTTTTGGGGCGCCACTGGCGGACCACTGATGATGTTTTGGGTCTGCGTGCCGATGCCGACAAGCCGCTCCCCAGCCACCGGTGGTCCAACGTTGGCTTGCGGATTGAGGACTCCCACGGTTTTCACCCATAATATATTTATAATTATTATAACTATAACACGGTCCACCTGTCTGCATCAATCGGATACAAACATCTGACGGGCCTGAACCCCCCCCCGCAAAAATTCCTGGATCCGCCCCTGATTTACGCACCTAATTCCTTTAAAAAAAAAAACCTAATGGTGTTTCGATCGATGGGTAACGATGAGTATGTTTAGCACACGTATACGCTCACGATTAACGAGGTAGCCGTATGTAATTGCCCAAACAAATGACAACAGATTGCTCATTATTGCTCGAAACTGTCGACTTATTTTCGTCCATGGAGCCATGACAGATGCACACAGCCCTGTTCCACGTTTTTTTGCCAATTAAGACAAATATTTTTTGAAAAGAATTCCAAGGAATCCGAATGGCCTAGTGGTTAGATTTGTCGTCCTCGAATCGCGGAACCTGGGTTCGAATCCTGTCGGTGACTTTTTGCTTTTCAAACCACGCATTCTGTACATCTTTTTAAGATGTTTTATTTCCCGTCGTAAAATACCAACAGTCCCTTAGCTTAATCGGTAAGCACTGCTGCTGGTACTGTTTTCATACAGGTTCAGGGCATGTGGTCCACTGGGGGGATCAGGGCTTAGGGTTCCGCCCTGTTCCTCCCTTAGCTCTTTGCTTCTACATGGCGCCTGGCCCTCCGGGGTTATATGGATGGATAGGGAAGGAAGTGTGTATTGGTCAGGAACGCCGAGATCCCGGAAGAGTCCTAAGGGATTGGCTGGGGCATTGTTATGGCTCAGACCGATCCCTGAATGCTTGGCTAGCACATAACTGTTCGATTTTTTTTTAATCCTTTATTTTATTACACTTTGATTTAGTTTGTTATGTACACCTGCGCGGCAGGTCTATACGATGATATTTAAAACGAGGCATTGGTCTATAATAATATGATAAATCAATGAATATTTGATAATTGACTATAATCAAAATTAAGTTTCGTTCGATCAATATGACTAATATTATTAATGGCGTAATTTGCAATTGACGTAAGAAACGCCATATACAATATTACACGGGAACAAATAAAGATATGATGTATATTATGGCTCGCACCATGCTTTCAATGGGTGCGCTGTTCAAATCTGACGATTATAAATACTATAGAAAGGAAAAAATGTAAAAGTCCCCCCCCCCCTAACCAAGCTGCCTCTGTCCTGTCCGTATTTTGTACACAGTCGGACGTCATGGTACAAGTATTTTTTTTTGGGGGGGGGGTGTCGGAGAGATAGAGGGGAGGGGAGGGGGATTGTACTATTTTTAAAGTAATTCTATGCACAATCTCTTTGACAGAGCTGGGGGGGGGGGGTGTGACCCCCGAACACGTACCCTGGATCTGCGCCTGGGCGACTCTTGTACAGTGCTAGTGTTAATTCGATAGTATATGCCAGCGCAACGTCAGATCATACGTCGTGTCAAAAAAGTCTTTTACCTCAATAACTATGTTGTTTACAAATAGAACTAAACGAAACAAATCAACAACTTCTATGAGCATTCAAATGAGACATCGCACAAAAACAAAAAATCGGCCCATGTCAAATCAAGCAATCAATTAATTAATTAATTTCAACTCTGGAATTAAGTGTAGGACGCTCCTTATATCGTTAATTCTGAATTTTGTGCGCAAGTTTAGAAGTGAAGCGCGCCATTTAAAACCAACTTTCAAAAATGTGTAAAGGCCTGCAAAAGCAAACCAGCAAATTTATTTGTTGGGGACCATTCCAAAGACTGTCTATGTTTTGAATTTGATTTTCTTTTTCCAAATTGTGGATGAGTGGGTCAAGGTTAATAATTGAAAATCCCAATTTACTTTTCAAAAAAAAGCAAGCAAAAACTAAAATCTAGATATTTTGACCTGCCTATGCACCAGCGTTCCTTGCGTGCATTTGTTTTCCACCTTTGTCCCCAATACAGACCGACAGTACAGACGGGCGTGCTGTACATGTACTGTGTGTACATGAGTATTTACACACCGGCAATCGTGGACTAAGGACAAAAGGGTAAGGACACAAACAATACGTCTACAATTGAC